AGCGCATTTTTTGCAGTAAATATGAACATGGATTGACACGAAAATGTAGTAATTACATCATAAATGCATATTATTAAAGTCTACTGTGTTTCACAATCAACACATGTCTTTTTGGCTAGGTTTAAAGGAAAAGATCACTTTTAGATCAACAAGGCAATAATAGATGGCGCTTGTGGAGGTAGGAAAACAAAGTTGTTTATGAACGGCAGGATTGCTTGTAATAAATGTTTAAATGCAAAAGAAAAGGCAGTAGAGCTGACTATTTCTGTCAATGGTAAGTTTGTGATAACGTAAGAAAAGTAGTTTACATGTTTTGCCACTTGCTTGAGCAACTTAATATATAAATCTAAAGTAAATGCAAAAGTAAAAAGCATTGAATAATGTGTTGCTTATATTTATTGTGTTTAAACATGTCTGTGAAAGATTGTATTACTGTACTGTGTAAAAGAAAAGAATTGCAATGCGGAAAAAGCATTTTCAGTGACAATGTTTAGATTTGAAATCAAAATAATGGATAAATGTTGTGTTTGTAGTAAACAGCCACGGATCAGTAGCGGACTCCTGTGTGAAAGCTGCTTCTCCTCTCACAAGAGACACCTAAGAGGGGAATTCCCCCCATTTTCAAAAATGAAATTCAGGCCCTGAATAAATGTCTAAAAATCCTGATTGGAGTATCACTATAAATGGTTATAAATGATAAAAAGAAGGCTTTAAAAAGATCGGTATCGGTGATCGGATCGGCTTTTCTTTCACACTGCTTTCTGTGATTGGTGATCGGCCTCAAAAACCCTGATCGGAGCACCCCTAATCTAGATGTAATGCCACAGTCACCACTTTTTACATTTCACTTCAATCGCAACAGAAATTGTGCAGGGCTATATTTTTGCCCCAATCTCCTGTTAATTTCCAACCCTGTTGCATGCCCACGTTTACTGATGAACCTTTTAAATCACTAGGAGTTTGGAGGTGGTGGAGCTGTTAATTTCTGCAGGGGCACGTTTGGAAAAATCCTCAGAGGAACTTGGGGTTGAGATGTGCTGGTGAGTGGGATTATGTTTTTATACAGAAGTTAATTTCACAAAAGAGGGCACTTGATAAAAGGTGTTAGTCTGATGAACATGTTAACCTTAATAGCAATAATTGTAGTCTTCTCAATATGGACTGTGCTTTTCAGTCTTGCATTCCTTGGAGACACAGAACAGATGGGGGCGTGGAAGAAGGCTGGAGTCAGTTTTAATGTTTCTGATGCTCACGGTCGAACTCCCTTACATGTGGTGAGGTTTTCTCAGAGATGTTAAGTAAATGTTGTTCCTATGATAAGCATCTAAGCCTGGCTCATCTTTCTTAATTTGCTTAAATAGGCGGTGTGTACCGATCAACCTGAAATGGTAAAGTTTTGTATCCGCAATGGATCCGATCTTGAGGTATGGACACAAAGTTTAAAACATGGTTAAAATGGTTAATCTCTCAAAAGTTTGGACACATAAATTTTTTGGCCAATATTTTAGAATAATATCAAGTTATCAAAACACTTAGTATGCATGCTAGGTTTTCTATTAGTCTTAAGGCAGTTCCCATATGCTAGGCACTGTTGACTGCTTTTCCGTCACTCTTCTTTTCAACTCGTCCAATTCAAAAAATGTAAATTAAATTCTAACTTTTTGTTGGAAAAGTCATACTGTATGTATTCACAATTTATATTATCTACAAAGAAATATCAGAAGGTTTTAAAGGGCACCTATTATGCCCCTTTTTACAAGATGTAATATTGGTCTTGGGTGTCTCCAGAATGTGTCTGTGAAGTTTCAGCCCAAAATACCCAACAGATAATTTATTATAACAGCTGGAACTTTCATTTTTGGGGTGTGTCTACATAAGAGCTGTTTTGGAGTGTATCGCTTTAAATGCAAAAGAGCTGCATATTCCCACCCCGTTTCCAGAAGAGGGTGTCGCGTATACGTCTCTGCATTGCATATCTACAGTACAGCAATAAACAGCCAGTAGAAGCAACATAACTGAGGGCGAGAGAACCAGTGTTTAGCCGTACATATGGGAAGCCAAATGTACTGAAAGTGGGACGAAACAGAGCTCGCGCCGCGCAGACCTGTCATCGGTGTGGATCAATGGAACGAGCCGCGCGACTGAACAAATCTCGTGCTACGAACGGCGCAAACTAATCTATGGAGCCCCGCACACGACATGCAAGAAAAAATAAATAAATTGTGCGCACGATTTACTAATTCGTTCCCTTGATGCACTAAAATGTGCGCACGATTACTATTTCGTTCCCTCGATTTGCTAATTCATTCCCTCGATTTGCTAAATCGTTCGCTCGATTTGCTAAATCGTGCACACAATTTACTAATTCGTTCTCTCGATTTATAAATTGTGCGCATGATTTAGCAAATCGAGGGAACGAAATAGCAAATTGTGCACACGATTTAGCCTATTTTTTTCCTGCATGCCATGTGTGGGGCTCCATACTAATCTCACAAGCGCGTCGCTGATCAGTTAAAAAATACTTAATGTACGCACACAAATATGGTTAAAATGCTAAGCACTATAACGACTAGAGGTCGACCGATAAATCGGCTGATTTTTGGCATTTTTTAAATTCATTTTTTGTAGTAGTTGTAGTAATAAGATTGTGCTGCAAATTAGGCCGATTTATAGGCAGGCGTATCTGCGGGCAGCTAAGCGTTGTTGCGGTACACCGGAGAATCTCTCTGGCTGCGTGAGAGAGACGGAGCAACTCACACTCTGCAGCCGCTTCTTGCTCACACACAGCTTCAGCTAATGATGGCAGGGCAAAACAGACCGTTTCGAAAGTGTAATTACATTTACCCTACTAGAATTGATGCCGGAAAAAGATCATATTCATAAGTGCAACAAGTCATTTGAATGTGAAAGTAGAAACATGCAATTCAGATGAAACTTCTGGGCTGATTATAACGTGCACGTTAACTTTCCTCATGAAATGTGTGTGTAGGTCCGACGTGGCCAGTGCACTCGCAGTTATGAGCAGCAGGCTGTGTAATATGTGTGAACTCTTTTATTTTTGTTATCACTATGGCCATTTGACTTATAGCAGTGTCCAGTGTTTCCCATACATTGAGTAATTTGTGGCGGCCCATCACAATATCAAAACTGACCACCACAAATAGATTTTCCAAAAGGCTTATACTTTGTTGAATAAACTGAGCACTGCACGTTTCAAAATTAAAATGCAGCACTGGTGTTTTTATATGTATGTATCTTTGAAAAGAACCGACCGTCTTCAGAAAAGCTAAGGTGTCATTAGGGCTGGGTATGGAGTTCGATACTTTTTAGGCACCGACCAAATTGCCTCGATACCATCGAGTATCGAAAAACGTCTCGTCGTTCGGTACCAAATTTCGATACCTCAGGGGTTAATCTCATCAGCATCAGTGAGCCAAAAAGCCTGCAGCACTAGCCGGGTGTGTTCGACTAGAAGTGGTGCGGAGCAGATCAATCATCTTCGAGAGCGATTCGAAAGCGCATGGAGCAGTCTGCTCTCTTTAGCTCTCGTGGTACTCTAATACACCGATCGGTCTGCACAGTCAGTCCGCGTCACACTGCAGAGATGCATAGACGCAGGTATTCACACGCACTTAATCTGTCTCTCTCCCTCTCTCTCTAATAACCGCAGTATTAGACTGCATTAATAACTGCCTTAGCCTACATATCAATGGCTCAAGCCTCCATTATTAGCTCTAAAATGACTTTTTGGAATTTGCAACAGAAGGTTTGGGATGAGGTGCGTAAAAATTTAGTTCAACACACACGAGATTTCAGGACGGAAACATGTCAAATGTCTTGAAACAAATAATCTGAACAATGTCTTGATGTGCGGTTGTGACTCCAGGCCGTTAAAATTATGAAATAATGAAATAAGAAATAATGCACTCCCGAAGTGGTTATGTGGCCACGACGCCGCACCTATATGGAACGGTCTTTCTCAGTTCTCAAACAAATTAAGAACTACATTCGATTTTTATTGACTGAACGCAAGTGCTTATTCCGATAGAAAACACTGTATCGGTTTCCACTGATTAAGAAATATTTTTGTTTGCTTGGGTGGTAATATTAGGTTTATTATATTAATAGGGAAGGGGGCCCAAAAATGTTTTTTTCTACATCACAAAAATAGGTAAATCCGGACCTGCCATCTAATGTGTGTTTTGGCCATGTAATGTTGCTGAAATTAAATATGTTATTACCT